AAAAAAACAAAGCAAAAAAAATTAACATTTAAGGGAACACACAATGGCAACAAAAATACCACACGCTTGCACACATGTGCATCTTTGATTGAGATGCACACACACCCACAGAACATTTCTTCTTGTATAAAGTTTTCCCTGAAGCTCCAACATAATTGCAGCAGAGAGAGAATAAGCACTGGAGGGACATGTTCTGCATGTACGTTTGATCCACATACAAACACAGGCATGTGTGTACCAAGGACCTAAAGAGATGCACAGTCTTGGCAAGCATGGGCATAATTACTGATGGCCCAGACACAATTTCACACAAAGCTACACTGTGATTCAGTCTGTGCAGCAAATTCGGAGGTAAACCGAGTTGTATTTTACACGATAACTGTGTTACTGTTGCTCTGAGCTGCTCTAGTATTCTGTGCTGGTAAGGAATGGCTCAGAGGTAGGCTGAGATCACCAGTTCCTCATCTGTCCTGTTGGCAGGGCTCTATCTCTGGGAACAAGATCCAAGCATTCCCTTTGACTTCCTGCATTGCTGCCGCAGTTCTAATCTTCTTGTGGGCAAGCTGAGGCATGAGTAGAGAGTGCTATAGCTGGGCTTAGCGTTTGATGCCTTTATTGTTCGTTTGTGGTTTCATTATAGGAGGCTTCATCCAGTCGGCAAGACACCTTCTGTGACACAGCTAAGCAACAGAATTATTCTTGAAACAGTCCTAAAGTTATGAAACCAGGTAGCATTTATATACTTTTTTTTGTGTTGCCAACATTTCATGTACACTTTACATTATTCTTGCTTGAAGTATTCATCATGAATATGCAAGTAGTATGGATTTAAAATCTTAAAATGCAGCTTCACTCTAATTGACTGCAGTCTACAGTTGGATCTAGGTGCTTCAGGATTGACACTAGGCCTTTATAGAATCTTGTTGTCTTAATTCCTCATCAGGTTATTAACATTTGGCACACCTGTTTACACCTTTTAAAGCTCTGACTCTATTGCTCCGGGTGTTTCTAAAGAATACCTGTCAGATGCCGATTTGGAAGATGTTTCTGTCTCTATACAAAGGAAAAAGAGAGCAAAAAGATAATTCCCCAAGACAGTGTGTATAAAAGGAGCTTATTTGAAAAAATCCTGACGTGTTTGAATATAATATAGGGGATTACAGGTAGTGCTCTGAACCACCATGTGCAATTTAGAGAGAAAGCACTTGCTGCTATTAAAGGTTTAAGGCTAATTGCAAGACTTCCACTTTTTCTGATGCTCAGAATAATACTGAAATGGCTTTTAAGAAAGAATGATGTAAAGACTTGAGTGCAAAACCCATTGTGTGAAAGAGACCGCAAATAATTCTGCTCTGTAGGGTTGTATTGATGGGATTAGTAACACTTTTATAGCAAAGTAGGTGGAAAGGGAGTAAATGATTTAGAACTGAACTGTAACGTAACAAAAGCAAAGTCCTTGTATGCGAGGGAAATGCATTCTCTAAGGCGGCTATCATGCAGTTAATCCTTGGAGCTTACGGCTACATTAACCCTCACACGTTGCCACTAAACATTTTTGGCAGCTCTCAGGACCAGATTTCCGAGGCAACATTACACTTGTCTGTTTTACTGTCAGTCTGGTATCCCAGTAACCTGTGATGGGATCACTGCAGAGCTACTCGCTGCACATTTGAAGCCATTCTCTGGCAGCACTTCACAAAGAGCGCATGAGATGCTGCAGCTATTTGGGCAGTTCTAGGGTGGTGTGTAAGATGTCCTGACAGAAGAGAGTAGCGGCGCTCAAGAGGGAGAGAAGGGATCGTCTTCAGTGTCATAGTTATCTCAAGAGCTGATGCATCAGGCAGACACACACCAAAGGGACACTTTCACAAAGGTGGTGCCAAATGATAAACCGGTGCCCTGGAGCTGCAGACAGCCCTCATCTGTCCAGACCACAGGAAGGGATTTCTAAGAGTCTTGATGGGAATGTGTTTCCAATTAGGCTGCCATTCCCAAGTCTTTGCTCTTTGTCAGATCCGACAATTACTGTACAGCCGGACATCAGTTGACGTTCAATAGGCGTAAGAGTTTAGGAAGGTTTTGATGGAATTGAATTGCATTGGTACACTGGCAAAGCTCTCTCCTCACAGAGTCTGAACCTTGGCTCCCATACTCTCTGTTACCATTAGCTGAGTTACACTGACATGGGCAGTAACTAAATAAATCCGTTCCTCACTGAAATCTCTAGTGATGACAACAATGACTTTGTCTTAACCGATTAAGAATAAAATGCTGAAAAGCCATATTTAAGTCATCAGGTCATGGTGCCAGTCATGTTCAATTAGAAACTTTGTAGATATGTGATGGGCGCTAATTTTAAAATAGATGTTTTTGGTCACAAATTTGGGTGATAATAAAAGTGACGTGTTGTTAAGGATATAAGTGACTGTAAAGACATTAGAATTACAGCCTGCAATAAACCTAATTGAATTACTCACACTTCACCTTTCTCATTTTAAAGTGTTTACTATATTTGATCATTCTTGGGTTTCACAGAAACGGGACTTTCATGGTAGCTGTCTGTGCCCTCCTCATTCTCTGTTGCCGTGATCTTTCATTATAATGTCAAAAACAGCATGATTACATTGAGGGGAACTGAAGGTGTACGAGATAATTACTTAAATGTTTCTGAACAGCTGGGAGTGAGATAATACTCTTTTCTTTATGAGGATAATGTCAGGTTCAGCTTCGTAAAAGGCTGTGGCCCTAATATCAAAGTCGTTTAGAGAAGGTCTTCATCTGGTAAGAAAAAAGACCCATCTCAGGGATGAGCCCAGAACAACTTGCACCACTTACAGAGTCTGTGTGACCTTCTTCTTTTAAATTTTACTCAGACATAGAGGAATGCTGAAGAACTGTCCGGCTGTCAGACAAGCTGCGGATACCCTTGTCACAGTCTGACCGCCCCAGTCAAGAGAGTGAAACCATGACCTTGACATCCAAATATACCTTTATCACTCTGCCACTGGGCTTGCCCCTTAAAATAACTGCGGCAGGCTTAAGTATTCAAAGACAGTATAATCCACACCTCCTTCAGACCTGTTCACACAGACCTGCAGACCGAGAGGGCGTTCCTGTCATCTTGCAGTGCAGATGCTAAATTTGGAGAAAGTTCGAACAGAGAAAGGAGATATGAGAAAAATATTGAATCATTTCATTAAAAAATAAATAAAGCCAGCCCCTTAAATTAATATTTCATTGAAATTCATTGCTTAGTAGGGAAACACCCTAAGAGTAGCCCAGAGGGACTTGCTGCTGTGACAGATCAGAAGGGTGTGGTGATGCCGTGGGGTCCGTGGGGAGGAAGGGGAGTACAGACCCAGTGCCCAGTCTGGGAATGTGCCTGTCCCATTCCAGCACTGCTCTCCCAGACTTCTTCATTCTGCATCCTACATTACATACATACAAACACACATAGTTAAGTCCCTTATCTGTAGGATTCTTCTTAGTAAAGTTTACTCTTCTGGTTTGAAGGAGTTGAAAACTATATGCTGTTGCACAGACACTAGAACAAGACACTGTGGAGTGCATGGCTATGAATAATGTAAATATATTAATGCATTAACTTCAGGTATTAAAACTATGCCAAATACTAACCAAAATTTAAATAATTTGTAAAATACTCTTCAAAATCTGAAAAAATGACAAGAAAGGAACCTGTATGTACGGCGTTTCTTCACACAGACACACACGTTCTCCAGCCCCTGGCTTTGCAAGGCATGCCTGTCCGTTCCAGAGCGGCGCGGTCCTTCGAGGAACCAGTGGCAGACGGGCACACACACACTTTCTGAAGTGGTATAAAGTTATCTCCTGTGCATGAGCCTGCCTGCCTGAGTGTTTACCAGCAGATAGCGGCAGGCCCCGGTCCTGCTATCAGGGCCAGGCCGGCGGCCGCCCGCACCGCACTCTCGCCTGGGCATTAGCAGCTGTCAGTGTGGGGGAGTGTGGGTGAGGCTGCGCAGGGCCCCGGACAAGTGCAGATAGCTGCTGCCTGCTGATCAAAGCTCCATGCTCGGGCTCTGATAACCCGGCTGTATTTCATGTACCAGGTATCTGTGGAGAGAAAGCCGAGTCTTGCTGGTCTTTTTTCTCCTCCGCCCTCCTCCTCC